CTGCACACACTGTTTTCCTTCCTTGGATGTTGCCATGTTATCTCACATTTAACATTTTTTTGAGTGCCTTTAATGTGCTTTAATTAGGGCAGGAAGACATGCTGGTAAACAAGATCAAATTGGTCGCTATGGTAATGGAGTTTACAATTTAATGGGATTGGTAAAACAAAAAATAAAAACCCACACAGTTGTCTAATAGTAATTGGGAAAAGTGTAAAGACTTGTAGTGCAAGGTGCTGTTCTTGGATAGAAGGGTCTAACTAATCTAAAAGCTAAAGGAAGGTTGCACCTGAGGACATGACTTTTCAACTGAGACCTAAAGAATTAGTAGAAATTAATTTGGAAATTGTAGAGTTTGAGAAAGGAATGCTTGTTTAGAGTTGAGAGGGGACGCCTCGTCCATAGCACCTGTGGCAAGAAGGGATAATGAAGAAATACAAAGATCTGTGTGTTTGAGTAGTTAGTAAAGAGGGAGAGACAGCAGCTGATTTCGAAGTAAGCAGAGATTGAGCAGTTTGCAGACATTTTTGTACTCTATTCTAAAAGCAATGAAGTTGTGGGGATATTGAGTGTGGAGTGTGATTACGATATAACTCCCAACTTGCTAAATGTCAGATGTGCTAAGTTTTTGTCCCCTGAAGTTGAAGAATGAATTCCAGAGGACGGGAGAGGTTAAGAGTAGGAAAGTGTTATTGGGGAATAGGAATAGCTTCAGAGACAGGAGGGATCCCAACTGCTGTGTGGGTTGCCCCAGAGGTCTTCTCTCCAAGAATGTTTTGTAGGGCAAAGTCATGAGAGGAGTACAAAGTGAGTCTAACTATAATCAGCCAATAAGATTACAAGTATAAGGCCGGGCGTGGTGGCGCACCAATGTAATCCCAGCACTCTGGGAGGCTGAGGCAGGAGGATTGCTGTGAGTTTGAGACCACCCTGGGCTACGTAGTGAATTCCAGGTCAGTCTCAACTACATAGTGAGATCCTGTCTCACTAAAGAAAAAAGATTACGAATGTAGCTGCTTAGTTTATATTGATGCAAGAGGGCATGTAGCAAGGGAATACAGATGACATCATTAACTTTGTTGATAATCTGTAGACTTGTCTTTAATCTTAGTCTTAGTAGTTCTTGTTGTTTTAGTAATCTTAGTCTTAGTTTTAGTCTTAGTGGATGGGAGAGGATAGCCCACCCCTAGGGAGATAATGGTCTATTTCTATGGGAAATCCCAAAAGGATGCTACCAATTACAGTATAATGTCAAATTTCCATTCATACCTTAGAAAAGTATGTAAATCTGGCCCTTGTGACTTTAGTCTCAAGGTCTTGCCTTCTTCATCCACAGTTTTGATATGTTCTCATCTTCTACCCTGACTTCCTTGAGAGCCTAGTCCCTTTCTGACTTTATAATAATTTTTTTTTCAGCTTTAGTTGAGTTTATTGGTACATTTTAGGGATACAGTACAGTTACATTCATTGTTGGGATCTTGTACCTCTACATGACAAGTCTTGATTCTCATTTTTTCCCCTTACCCCTGCCCTCCCTTCACCCCCTCCTCTCCTCCCCATCTACAAACACTTGATTTTCATCTTTTCATTCTCTCACATTTTTTTCTTTTCCCTTTTTACTCTTCCCCTACCCATCCCACCTTCCCTACACCTTTAGCTCCTTTCTTCCCATTTCTAAATGTCAGTAATCTTATTAGAATCTTATGCATTGTTGCAGATTATTTACACCAGGGAAACTATTTGGTATTTACACATGTGTGACTTATTTATTTCACTTAGGAGTATATCTTCAATATGTATCCATTTTCCTATGAATGAATCTATTTTCTCGTTCTTTATGGCTGAGTAATATTCCATTTTATAGAAAAACCACAACTTCTTTATCCAGTTTCCAACGGATGGGCAAATAGGCTGTTTCCAAGATATAATAATTTTTATATAACTTAGATCCCTATAATTACATATTCATATTAATGTTTGAAAATGGCAACTTTGACTGTTTTGTGGAATACACAGTAATTATTGGACTAAAGAAGATACACAACATGTGCTCATTAGTCTGAGTCCAGGGGAGAGATGGGGTGGTCTGGACCAGAGTGTTAGGCCTGGGGATGGAGAGAATGTTGTTTGTTTGTTTGTTTGTTTGTTTTGTTACTGGGGATCAAACTCAGGACCTTGCCTACAAGGTGGGTGTGGTGTCACTAAGCTAAATCCCTGGCCCTTGGGTGGAGAGAATTTAAGGGAATGTTTATTTGGAGCTTGAATTGGCAAGACTTAGCAAGAAATAGATTTGGCATGTAGCATGTGAGAGAGATGTCAAGGATGACTCTTAGAATTCTGGATCAGGTGTGGATCCAGGTATGGGTATGGATAATAGTTTGTTTTGTTCTGTTTTGTACTGGACATCAAACTCCAGTCCTTGCACTTGCAAGGCAGGCTGTGGAACCACTGAGCTAAATCCCTGGCCCTGATAATACTCATTTTAATCGAAATCTTTAAGGAATTCTAGAGAGGAGCAGGCTTGGAGGCAACGATCAAGAGCATTTTGAAGGTATTTTCTCCGTAGATTCTTCTCTTTTTCGTCAGAAACGACCACTCTCCCAAGATCCTGCTTAAAGTTGCCTTTCTGTGAAGTCACTCCAGAGATCAGAGCAAACTGAACTCTGTGTCCCGTGGACTTCCCTTAGTACTTATCTATTTTATGATTATCTGTATTTGCCTATCTCCCTCATCAGACTGTGATTCTTCAGCAGGGAGCTTCATGTTTGGTTGTTGCTCTTATATTTTGGGGGTTAAAGACTTTCTTTACCTTAGATCTGGGTAGTACTGGAGTAAGCTAATATTTCTTCACTGCAGCACTTCTCCCCACCTCCCCATTGTGAATTGAAATCTCCAGGAAGGGCATAAAATATGCAATATTTGCCCCAAATCATTTGGTTTCCGCTTCCTCTCTACCGGTTTTTATTTTCTGAGCATCTCATGTTATGAATGTTGAAGGTTCTAGAGGTAGGAGGAATAGGACCATTCTGTGAGAAATGGTGATTTGGATATGAGCTTAACACTGAGTATGTGTGAGATTCACTGAGTGTGGACTACATGAAAAGATAACCTGTCCACTGTTGGAGAACGGTCTCTGGATAACTTTGGGAAGCTAATTTTGCCTATAGTTGATGCAGATCTATTTCTTTTATGTCCAACAATCAAAACAAACATCAAAGGATGAGAATTTATTAGTTTGTTCCTGCCAGGCTAAACAAGATAGGTGCCATGAGGTGACAAATTCTATTTTGTTTCTTTGTAGTTCTCTGGTCTCCTCTGACCCCACACACCCCAGCATACCTTTGGCCCCTTTATTTCTGAACTCCTAACGTCGAAATAGTGCCTTTCTTATGTCAAATGGGTTGTTCGTAAAATAAAGTTATATCAGCAACGTTTTTTTGGTTAAAAAATGTTCAGTACTTTTCTAAACTGTTTATATTCTGGTATCGAGAGTTGGCTGTTGTACAAAACCTAGGTTTCAGGGACATATGGACAGGATAGGGTAAACAGGAAAGACACTTCTCTCTTTGAAGAATACAGTATGTGAATATATTTTTTATTTTATAATAAATTTTATTTTATTCCATTCCCTCTTCAAACTCCTCCCCTCCCTATGTAAAAAAGACTTTTCCATTTTTTTCTACTGTTGTCACTTTTTTCCTTGTCCCTTCCTTCCTTTTGTGAATATGTTTGAAAAGGGAAAATTTCTTTTTTTTTTTTTTTTTTTTTTCAAAAGTTAGAGCCTTCAAGACAGTTTATTTTTTAGAGTAGAACTTAGTGGAAAGTTTTACCAGGAACTCAGAAACTGGAACAAGTAATATATTTGTTTTTAAACATACTTTGTTTTGCAATGCCAAGGGGCATTATTTCGACAGACTAACTGCTGGTATCTTTCTTATAGTCATGTACAGTGGGTGGAGTTAATGAAAATAATTCTGTACTCTGTTTTTTTGGTACCGAGGATTGAACTTGGGTCCTTGCACCTGCAAGGCAGGCCGCAGCACCACTGAGCTAAATCCCTGACCCCTGTACTCTTTTCATATATTTTAGTTACATATCATCCAACTGAGATTAGTCATGTTAAGATAGAGTGACCACATCTACATCTATACCTCCCACGTCTTTATTTTCATGTTTTCATTTACTTGTCCTGCCGTATAGAACACGTTCATTTTTAAATGGACATAAGTGGCATGACAAGGAAAACTGGATCTTTAGTCCGGCATTAGGAGTTGTTAGCTTCTGTCATCAGTTTAATATTCCCACGACCCCTGTACTCTTTTCATATATTTTTAGTTACATATCATCCAACTGAGATTAGTAATGTTAAGATAGAGTGACCACATCTACATCTATACCTCCCACATCTTTACTTTTATGTTTTCATTTACTTGTCCTGCCTTATAGAACACGTTCATGTTTAAATGGACATAAGTGGCATGACAGGGAAAACTGGATCTTTAGTCCGGCATTAGGAGTTGTTAGCTTCTGTCATCAGTTTAATATTCCCTTTGCTCTCAGGGCAATCTTTAGATCTGAGCCCATGAGGTCACCATCAAGTACACATTACAAAAAAAAAAAATCTGTGAATAGATACTATTTTTTCTGCTTATTTTAAGAAATGACCAAAGTAAGGAAAAATAATTGTTAAATATGCTCTTAGTAGCTGTGATAGGGACTGCATGGATAAAATGTAATGCTTTTTTAGCAAGGAAAATAGCTGCAATTTTAATGCAGAATTCCTCCTTAATTATCATCTCAGGGCTGTATATATCCTTAGAGAAAAAAGATGGTATAAACTTGTGTAGACCTGGTAATCTTCAGTAATATATTCTATTGGAAAGGCCACGTCTCAGGACACATTTTTTTGGTACATTTCTTTCTGCACTTTGGGCTTCTAATAAAGGATGTATTGTCCAGGAAAGTCATTTTAATTACAGAAACTCCTACGTTTGTTTCAGGTCGATCTTCTCTCTTTCCCTTTGAAGACGCCTTCTTGGATGACAGCCATGGTGATCAGGCCTTGTCATCTGGTTTGAGTTCTCCCACTCGCTGTCAGAATGGGGAGCGAGTTGAGCGCTACTCTAGAAAGGTGTTTGTTGGAGGCCTCCCTCCTGACATCGATGAAGGTATGCATTCACTAACGACTTGATCCGAAAGTCTGGGTTTGTGCTTTGTGTCGTCTGACCTTGACTTTCCAAGTCAGCTGTAGGATATTTATATCTTAATGTGTAGGAGGTGAGAATATTTGATAAAGGAGGAAGTAATAGATGACACATATCGTATCTACCGTTCATATGTGGCAATGAAGGAGTCTCAACAGTTTCTCATTCCCTGCTTGTTAATTTAGGGGTAGTATGATGAGAACTAATACATATGAAACTTTTATTCTTAAGTCCATTATTGTACTAAGCATTTCTTATTATCTCATTTAATATTTCATTTAATACTCATAGCTGTTTTATAAGGTACATTCTCTCATCATTTTGTTTTGGTACCGAACTCGGGTCCTTGTGCTTGCAAGGCAGGCGATGGAACCACTGAGCTAAATCCCCAGCCCCTGTCATCATTTTTTAGATGAAGAAACTGAGGATCAGAGAAATAATTTGGATTATGTAGCTAATGGTGTAGTTACATACTAGTCAGTCTGATTTAGAGCTTTCTCTCATGTTATGACACCATCATATTTTACTTTAAATGTCTATTAATGAAAAGCTTATCTCCTGCTTGTCTTTGAAAGAATGAGGATGAATTAGATTTATTAATGATATTTTTGAGATACTACAGTCCAAAATAAAAGTGGATTTTTCTCTTATGCCTAAAATCAAGGAAAGTATTCCTTTTAGCACATAGTAGATATTAAATAGTAAATATTTGTTGAATGCATGGATGAAATAAATAACTGTTTCAGTAGGCTTTGGATCTGCTATAAAAACATTAAAACAGATTTGTTTTGCCAGCATTATTCTAACTATGAAACTTGGTTAATTTATCATGTTGTTCTCATTATGAGAAAAGAAAAACCATTTATATATGTATGTATGTTTGCTTTTTGAAATAGGGTCTAGCTATGTAGTTCAGATTGACCTTGAACTTGCTATGTAGCCCAGTTGACCTCAAAATCATAGCAGTCCTCCTGCCTCAGCCTCTCCAGTGCTGGGATTACAGGCATGCACCACCATGCCCAGCAGATCAGATTTTCTTTAAGACAAATATAGCCCAGGCTGGTCTCGAACTCACAGTGATCCTCCTGCCTCAGCCTCCCGAGTGCTGGGATTACAGGCGTGCACCACCACACCCGGTCTAGCCTTCTGATTTGAGTGAAAAGTCAGACACATTTATTGAGCTACCACTTTTTATATATATATTCTTTATAAATTATATAGTATGTATGAGAGAAAAGAGATACTGCCTTTTAACATTTTTTCTCACCACCAAATAGAATTACCTGCTTGTTTCCTCCCTGCTTCTCATCAAGTAAATCAGTTTACTTCTACAAAAGCTTAAAGATTCCATATAAGTGAAAATATTTTCTGTACTTTTACTCTTTTCTGAAAACAGAACATTCTTATTTTTAGAATCTCTTTTTTATTTGACTTAGAGGTCATTTTAGCTAATACTAGAATTTTTTCTTCCAAATTCTTTATCAAGGTTATTGGCAGTGAAAAGAAATGAATAATAGTTAGAAACAAATTTTGCGTAGTTAAAAGCAAATAACAGAATGCATATCCAAGCCATAGTGTTTAAGTTTGATTTCTAGTACTTTAGAAAGTACCCCCTCAAATTTTTCTTCCTTTTCTTCTTTCTTTCTTTTCTTTTTTCTTTTTTTTATTTTTTTTTATTTTTTTTAGTGTTTGTTTATTTTTGCAGTGCTGAGAGTTGAACCAGGGAGCCTTTGTATGTTAGGCAAATGGTCTACCACTGATCTCCACTTCAGCCCACAAAGTTTCGTTTTGTTTTTTTTTAATAAAAAGATGTGTTTTGTGCTATTCTGATTACATTTTTTTTCCTCTTTTGCTAACCTTTCTTCTTTGTTTTGCAGATGAGATCACTGCCAGCTTTCGCAGATTTGGACCTCTTGTGGTAGACTGGCCTCATAAAGCGGAAAGCAAGTCATATTTTCCTCCTAAAGGTAATGCACTTAAAATGTCTCCACTGGCTGCCTGTTGGAGAGTTTGTCTTACAGACAGTTTGATCTGAGGCAGCCTTTTAATTCTTGAAATTGCAGTTGACTTTTTTCCCCCTAGATTAAGAAAATATTTGTTAAAATATTTGACCATCCTTTTGTGTATTATGTTTCAACCTGAGGATTCTTTGTATTTTATTGACAATGAAATCTTGTAAATCTGTTGTGGATGAGCTTTGTGCTAAGGTTTTATAACTTTGAGAGAAAAGATCTAGACTTTTGAGGGATGTCAGCAGTGATAAAGGAAAAGATTATTTAAAGTGAAATTTTATTTGTGTCTCATAACCTTGTGGTTTTATAAATCTTATAAATCCCAGACTTGGAAAACCTATTGGCTGAAGAATGGCATTGCATGAAATTACCTTTATCCACTTCTGTATCTTAAATAACTTAGCCTGTTTAGGAGGCAGAAGGCAAACTAGCAAAAAATTCTTCGCATGATTTTGTCTCTCTTATTTTTGGAGGCTGTTTTGATAATTTATGAGGAGATGAAAATATTGCTTTGTCTATTCATAGTTTGGCATTTCTGCAGAACCCAGAGAACTCTTCTAGTGATGCTCACTCTGGGTGTGTCCCTAGATTTATATACAAGTCTGTTTTGGATCAAAAAGGAAATTTTCTTGTGTTATGTGCTGCAGATATGTTCCAAAGGTCCTTTTGGGGGTTTTTGTTTTGTTTTGGTACTGGGAACTGAACTCAGAACCTTGTGCTTACCAGGCAGGGGTAGTGCCACTGAGCTAAATCTTCAGCCCCAGAGGTACTGTCCATCTTTGAAAAAAGGCTTTTTTGATGTTATTGTATAACATTCATTACTAGAAAATAGAGTCAAAATGCTTCTTCCTATTCCTTGTATAGGAACCAAACCAGAGCTTATCTTGGTGAAGATAGTTCTGGTTTATTGGTTTCTTTGTCACTTGTAGTTCTCTCCACACGTTCTGTAGCCCTCTATCACAAGTTAGTAAAAAGAGTGCTTTTTGCTTTTAGCATTCTTTGTTAATTCTCTCCAGAAAATTTTTACATAAGAAAATTAAGTTGATGTTACAAAATATAGAAATCATCACGCTATTTAGTAAAAGAATAAAGACATATATGAAAAAAAATTTTTTTGAGACATAGTCTCACCTTGTAGTCTAGGCTGGCCTCAAACTCACTATATCACCCAGGCTGGCCTCGAACTTGTGATGATCCTTTTGCCTCAGCCTTCCAAGTGCTGGAACTATAGGCATGCGCCACCACACCTGGCTATAAATTATTTTTCTAATGCTAGTTCGATGCATCAGGAAAGGTTTTTTTTCCTTCCAGTAAGTGAATGTATTTATCACATTAATGCATGTAGCACATTCTGTAAAATGATGTGTACAAAAGATATTTTTAAGAGTGATGGTTACAAAAATATGCTGAGAGTATAAAAGTGATTCTGACATAGAAAGTGTCCTCTGATCATTGTAAGAAATGAAAGATAAATGTCTAAATAGTCATATCCAAAGCAAATTATGCTCTATTCGAGATAACCACTTTCTTAAATATTTTCCAATCTCTTTATAAATGTATGTATTTGTATGAAATTTAAAAATTTGCATAAATAGATCACATTGCACTTGCTGTCTTCATAACCTGCATCTTACTCTCTGGCAATGTCAGCATCTGTCTGTAACAAACCTGTGCTCTCCTTAAAGGCCATGTCTTACTTAACCAAGCCTAGATGGTATTTAAGTTGTTTACTCTTGTTTCTGTCGTGCATCACTCATCAGTGACTGTCCTTGTGTCTTCATCTCATCTCATTCATTTATTCATTTATTTGCAAACCGAGGGCCTGATGAACCTGAGGCAAGCACTGTACCACTGAGCTATGCCTCTCGCTTTTTTGTGACTGCTACTACAAGTGAGAGTAGATGTTTATATAGATTACCAAGCTGCCCTTAAGAGGCTCATACACTTTTTTTTGGGGGGGTGGGGTATTGGGGATCGAACTCGGATCACTGTGCTTCCCAGGCAGGTGGCAGAACCCCTGAGCTAAATCCCTGGCCCGCTCATACACATTTTATGTTCCTACCCATAGAATTTAGTTTGCAAAACCCAGTGTTGTTGCAGGTCTAGGGAAATCTCTTTTTTGTTCTTTGCCAATCTGATGATTAAAATAACTCTTTTTTTGGCATTTATGTTTCTCTTTTTTGGCCATCTCCTAATCTTTTTATTTTCTTATCTTGTTAAATATATACTTTGTCCCATTTACTTTTGGGTGTTTATCTTTTTGTAAAGGCTTTTTTGTTTTGTTTTGCTGTTTTGAGACAGGACCTCCCTATGTCGTTCAGGCTGACCTTGAACTAAAAGTTATCTTCCTGCTTCAGCCTCCTGAGTTCTAGGAAAACAGACGTGAACCACCACACCCAGTTCTGTAAAGGCTTTTTACATTAAGAATTTTTAAAAGTACTTTGACTTATATTTGAAATATTCCCCCACTTTTCAATCCTGTTTGATTCTACTGAATATGATCATTAATTTTTAAAATTTTTAAAGTAGCTATTAAGACTGTTTTGTGGTAACAGGGCTTGAACCCAGGGCCTAACACTGTAAACACTCTATGATTGAGCTACATCCCCAGCTTTTTAAAAATTTTTTTATTTTGAGACAGGGTCTCATTAAATTGCCCACACTGGCCTCAAAACATGGAGATCCTCCTGCTTCAGCCTCCCAGGTAGCTGGAACCACAAGCATGTACAGTACCCTGCCCAGCCCAAAACTATATTTTTATATCAAATAAATTTACCAGTTTTTTCTTATGGTTTTTGAGTTTTCCTGACATGCTTTAAAAGATTTTCCCTACTATATGACAATTTAAACAATACTATTCATGTGTTTTTCTGATGTTTTTATTATTTTGCTCTTCACATTAATATCTTGTTTGGGTCTGCAATTTTTATTGAAATATAGCACAAGAAAAAAATCCATCTGAATTTTTCCCGAGTAGCTTGTCAGTCATCCCAGTATTATTTACTGGCTAGTCATTTTGTTTACTCATTGATTTGAATTGTTAGACTTAAATATTGCCTGATTTGTTTCTCAATAGAATTTTCAAGTTTTTTTTAAATTGCTTGCTCTAGTATGATAATTGTTAGTCATATACAGCTAAGAAGTTATTTAAAATGCGACTTTTTTGAGTTGTGATATGATATATATATATATATATATATATATATATAATAAGCAGTAGATTTTAAAGACTTCATTTTTTATGTAGGTCTCAGTAGTTTTGTTCACATATTAAAATAATTTGGAGTATGTTTGACTAAATATACTAAAATTAACCTTGCAGGCTTGTTTTTACCTTTTAAAATATAGATGCTAAAATTTTTTGTTACACGTGATTCATGTTTCTATTAGACAGAACTCTTCTAGAACAAGGGTCAGCAAACTACCTGTTTTTGTATGGCCTGTGAGCTAAGGATTATTTTTATGTTTTTAAAAAGATTGTATGTGGCCCATAGATCCCTTTGTAAGAAAAGTTTGTTGTTCTCTGATCTAAAATAACCCATCAAATTGCTTATTTATCTTCTGAGACACCCAGTGACAAGGGAGGTAGTTTATTTTAGAGGAAGTCTATATACTTGCAGGCCTACTTTTCTATTAATTTTTTTCTTCTATCACACTGTCAAATGTTCCCTGCAGTCTTTACCCATTGGTCAGTGGAATTTTATAAAACAGAACAAAACAAGTCATCATTGTGACATCTGTTTCCACAATCTGTTTCACTTCCAAGCTAAATATTTTTGTCTGTCCCTGTCATCCTTTATATGTAATGGTTTCTGGATCACTGTGTCTCCCTGCTCTGTATATTTGTCACATTTACAACATCCTACTTAAGTTTGTTTCTGAGAGTTGAAGAGAATGTTAGAGTTGGTCTGAGCAGTACTGAGTGTAGTAGCTCTACAACCTTCATGGTTTTTGGTAGCACGATAATATAGAACATAGTACATCAGTGCTGGTGTCCTCCTTTTGTAGCTGAGGTTAAAGCATGGGTTGGACAAATAAGAGGAATGTCCACAAGAAAATAAGCTTTCCTGATTCCAGTTCTTTGATTGTGTCCTCTGAGAGCAGATTGCCTTTCTGGTGATTAAGGTCAGGGAGGAGAAATAATTATTAGACTATTGGCTACTATTTTGTTTTGCTCTCAGCCAACATCTGAAGGTTGACCTATTGTGGGAGAAGCTAATGAAACTTTGTATTATTCTAAGACTGAAATAACTTTGAGAATACTTGTACATTGTTTAATTGATATTGAGAACATCAAAATTGTTTATCTCAAACTAATGTCCTCCTATAATGCCTTCTCCTACTAACTGTACTTTTCCTTAGGTCACTAGGTTACCCCTTAGGTACAGTTTACTTGGTTGAGCATTTTAGGCTTATGTGTAAGTTAGAGGGGGAAAAAAGAATCATCTACTATTGAGCCTTTTGGTCTTTGTCCCAGAGAATATACGTTTAATGGAAATGACAGAATCATCCATTCATTCAGCAAATTTACCTGTACAGATATGAAGTAGGGTTTATAAAATGATGACTGTTTTCAGTGGATTGTGAAGTTCCTAAAATCCACATAGCAAACAGTGTCCAGGTACATTACTGTCCCTTCAAGTTGGACCAGAGAGTGGGAAGTGATACAGACAGGGCCTTTTCCAGCACATTGGCCACTGAAGCATTTGCGGAAGATTTAGGGTCCTCTGGATCCGTCTGTAGGTCACAAGCAATAAACACTTGGGTTCCCCAGAATGGCACTGAGAACACGGAAGGCGTGGAATGTGGTCCCAGACCATACAAGCTTACATTCTTGGTGGAGATAAACAATTAATCAGTCACAAAAATTAACATTTTTACAGATTTTCATATTATCCCTAAAGGAAAAACAAACTGTAATAGACTCTAAAGAGGGGATATCTGTTTCAGTAAGG